TCTGTCTCTCTCTGTCTCTGTCTCTGTCTCTGTGTCTTTGTCTCTGTCTCTCTCTCTGTCTCTCTCTGTCTCTGTCTCTTTGTACTTGCGGGGGGGCAGGTGGGTACATGCTTGTATGCATATGCGTGTGACATGCCAGCAGAGTCATGTTGGGCAGTTTCCAAATTTTTGACACGCTAAGCCTACAAGTTTCACCATTCCTGCTATAGAGAAATCTACACGAGAAGGGAAAGTACAGTCAAGAAATTTATATACCTACGGAGCATATTAATTACAAATGTTAGTAGTTCTCCTGCAGAGAAGCAGTGTGGAGAAACAATTGGCGCAGCACTAAAATTTTAAACAGCAACGGTTCGCCTATTTGTATACCAGAGGACAAGCTGTCTTGTCTAAACCATCTTTCTCCAATATAATGCCTTACGGTTACGACTGGATGTTAATTCCACATCTAGCATGGCATAGCCGTGAAAAACGCTAGACAAGGATTTGCAGCCAGTCACTCTCTCTCTCCCCCAACTCACTTCACAAAATTTGCTCTTTGTGGGTCAAACAGGGGAGCAGCCAGTCCCACCTTCAGCTATATCAGTATGATATAAATCTGATTGATTTATTAATGTGCTATCAAGTCATGTTTGACTTCTAGTGACCACATAGATTTTTCTCTGTGGGAAAAAGAACCCCTGATAAACCAACTCCCATAATCATCCAGGCAGCATAAATACTCCAACAAAGAGTTGGAGGGGACTCGTAGTTCAAAACCTTTGTAGGGCACCAGACTTGTGAAGGCTGTTCCCAAAACACATTCATTTTTGTGACACTTCCCTGTTTTCTCTCTGTGTCATTTACAGGCCAGCTAGGCCACTATTTATGAAGAGGGAAGTGAAATGGCTCTTACCATTTGCAACTTGGGCAGCTCCTGTGAAAGAGATAAGAAAAAAAGGAGGCTGTGTTTGTTATCTAGTTTGTGACATCATTTAAGCAAGCCCACCCATTCCTCCCCAATTCATTTCTTCCAGAGGTGATACAATGAGTAGCTGTTCTAACGCTGAGTTAGACCGACATAGGATTTCAATGGTGAAGGTGGGAGAAAGGAAAGGGAGACAGCCCGGTTATGCAGACCCAAGTTACGCATGAGACACATTACAAGCAAGTAATCAATGAACTGATGTAATGTGCTAAAAACCTCATTGGGTTGGAGGCCTTCTGAGATTGCCTGACACTTTTCAATGTGTGCACATTTAGCAATGGCTCCCACTTCGCCCCCACTGAATCCTATATCAACCTAGCCACTTGGATGACATGAGCCATAGCTCATGAAAGCATCTGCCCTGTATTAATCAAGAAAAGATTCTGCCACACTCCGCCTATTTTTTATTTTAATTTTTTTGCCACCATCGGTTATTCAGAAAGGGACTATAATAGAGCATTTATATCTACAGGTGAGTTTTAAGTCTGTAAAGCTATTAAGAGAGGCAAAAACAATTGGTTCCCTTTTGTATCTTTTAATTGCTTTAATCTAGAGAAATAAACAGAGTAAAGATTCAACTTTTGTGAAAATAATCTGGATCAGGGTGTTTTAATTTTTCTAACCTTTTTCAAGAAGGGAGAAAAAGAAAGCTCCCTCTGGCAGTGTTGAGAAGCAATTGTGTTGTGTTGAACGGAGTTGGAGGGGTTGCTCTTGTTAGTATAAACCTTCCATTTCACTCGGCATAATTAACCGTGTTACTAAATCAATAAATTTTCTGAGATTGCGCAACGGGTTGAGTTATATATTAGCCCAGTGAGTTGACAGCACACTAGGCCACAAAAATGTAACTGAGATTAAAATTGTGCCACCTTTATGCCAGTTGTACGAATAGAGCTATTGTTTAATCTGCTAATTTGTGAGTGTTGATATCAGTGATATTTTCAAACCCAAAGACGCTGGTTAGAATGTCTTGGAAGTGTGTGGGGGTGGGTGCGTTTCCATCTCCCATTTTATGTCTCTTCACTACCAACACCCCTAGTTCTCTCATGATTTAGAAGAGAAAGAGCAAGAGAAAAACACGGTATTTTAAATATTTAAAATAAAAGATGTAAGGGAGGAGGATTAATAGTTGCTGTGCAGATTGTAGCTGAACTGTTGGACACAATAAGCCATAACACATTTCCTCTGAGGAATGTATCACAGGGCTATTATATCATGCAGAGGGCTCAACTTGATGGCCGGCCCGGCCTTCCTTCCCTTCCCACACACTGGGTTCTTTGCAACTGATATGAAGGATTGTACATTTTTGACATAATGGAGCAGGAATACCAAGCCCATTACTGATAGCTGAACAGAGAATCAGAAGACCCAAGGAATCATTTTGTACTCATATCCTCATGTTGCATTTCTGTGGTTGTGACACCCCAAAATTTTCCAGATATTTTTTTTTTTTCATCTGAAACTGTTTGTTAAAGTGTCCTATAAGATTACAGGCTTTAGAGAAGCCACCAAACCCTTCAGAGATATAGCAAACAGTGGTTTTAAGAAGATGGTCTGGGAGGCTGTAGTTAGAAAAGGGCCAATGGAAGAAGAAAAAGAAGAAGGAGGAGGAGGAGGAGGAGGAGGAGGAGGAGAAGAAGAAGAAGAAGAAGAAGAAGAAGAAGAAGAAGAAGAAGAAGAA